ACAGGTGCCTTACTAGTAGTAACAAGAAGCTATTAGTAACAAGTGCCACGCTAGTAGTAACAGGTGCCTTACTAGTAGTAACAAGAAGCTATTAGTAACAAGTGCCACGCTAGTAGTAACAAGTGCCTTACTAGTAGTAACAAAAAAGAACCTAGTAGCGTCCTTGCTCCTAGTAGTAAGGCCAGGAGCCCCTAGTAGCTTCTTGTTCCTAGTATGGAACAAAAAAGAACACTAAATTGTAGATATTTGCATCTTGTCTTTTTTGCATGTTCTTGTCTTGTGGATATTAGACGAATTGTAGAATTGTGCGTATCTTGTGAAAATAGGCATGTTCTTTCTTGTCAGAAAAGCCTTACAGATTCACCGTGCGAGAGCCTTCCCATCTCTGTTCACATCCATCAGGTTGAACAGTGCTCTGGTGTCTTGCTCGGACAATTGGACCTGCACTTGGGTCTTGCAAAACAAACTTTCTTTTGTAAAGAACAAGCTGCTTCGCACTGAAAACAAGACTTTTGAGTTGCCTGGTTCAACAACTCCTGATACTCCTCTGGGGTTCGGCCTTGAAGTGCGAGATGCGAGGACAAGGGAAGCTGGTTCGGCTTTTGTTTTGCATGTTTTGTTCTTGCTTCGAATAACTTACAAAACATGCAGCCTTCATCCTCTTTCTCTTCTTGCTGCTTCACGAGGTCCTGGAAACCGCCGTGACTGCAGAGCTCGGAGCGTCCGTGCTACTTCTTGAAGCTTCTTGCTAATAGTAATGCCCTTTGTTACTAGTAGCGATGCCAGGAGCTACTAGTAGCTTCTTGTTACTAGTAGCCATGCCCTTTGTTACTAGTTGCTTCTTGTTCCTAGTAATGCCAGGAGCTACTAGTAGAAGTCTTTGGCTCTCGGCAGTGCCTTCAAGAAGTTCTGGGCCTTCTCTAAGCCAATGCCAGAGTGACGTGCAATCCATGAGGCCTCACAGCTAGAGAGGCGTCGCTTCGGTTCGGTTCATTCGGTTGAACTCTCGCGGGTGAAACCCTTAGGTGTCCGGACCCGCCGTGACCTGATGTGTCGATCGAGAATGCGTTCAACAGAAAAGATATTGGGATGAAGGGTTAGAAAAGACCAATATGGTATATATGGTATTATATATATATATATATGGTCACTCGTTTTTTAATGTGATTCGCTTATATGGTATCTAATTGAAATGATGTTGGGTATGCAAGCAAGTCAATTTTTGAGCATCCAGTGAATACACGCTGAAGGGCTCAACTTTGCTGCACCAACACTCCTATGGCAACACACCATTCTCAGGAACAATCCTTCCAAGATATGAGCAACTCGCTACTACCACATGGGTCGCATCTCCATCCATACAACAGCTTTAGTCATCGCCAAAACCCACTCTCACTCTCCCAAACCATCCCCAGAATCACTGCTGTTCTAGCCCCTCCTACAGTATGATCTCAAAACCGTAATGAACCAAATCCCACACTATCCGCAGTAGAACGCGCCATTGTTCCGGCCCTCCAACAACACTGGTCTTGTAAATCAAACAGTTTTTTTAACAGGTTGGAGTGCGTGCGTTCTGTACGAAACTCGCCCGAGTGATGGTGTCAAACTCGCCGGAGTCACTCAGAACGAGACACTGCTTCCCCACTTGTGGGGGTTTCCTTTCAGCCAATGCCAAACCCGAATGCAAGCACACGACTGTGCAGTGAACCATCTGTTCAAACGATTCCTGGCCCATGATAGAATGGCGTTGATATAGCGAAGTCCGCCTCGAGGGCTCCATCGCAAAAAAAATGTTTAAAACAAGAACCAGCAAAATGTCAGAAAGGCATTTTATAGCATTCAAACCCTCCATTCTTGTGTAAAATGAAAAAACGGTGTAATCATGATGTTGGTCACTTCGTGCCGAGTGACCTGGAAGCAGCGATCTCCACTGCCGGGGGCGGTTCCAGCTCCAAAGACTTCAACTGGCGGTGACCAACGAGCTTTGGCTGATTGAAAAAACGAAAACAGATACACACAACATCTACGGGCCTTTCCAACAAAAGGGCCGTAGAATGAAATACAAAACCATGGTCGAAAGGAAATAGAAACAAAAAGCGTTACTTCGAGGGATCCACATCCTGAGGAGGGATTTGGAAAAAGGCAAGGCACATCTGTTGACAAACTATCTTGACAAACGCTTCCTGACATGTGCACTGACACAATGTTCTGACATCTGTTCTGGCATCAAGTCTGGTATGTGTTCCGACACATCACCTACCTAGCAGCATAAAGGCTGGGACATAAATGGAATGTGTTCTGACATCCTGTCTGCCATGTGTTCTCACAGTATGCTGGGGGGACCACTTGACATCTATTGTTTATGACATGTGGGTTTACATGGTTTTGTTTGACTTTCAACATGTCCAAGCTTGCTTTTCCACATATCCATATGATTTTCTGCTGTTCAGAGCTTGTTATTCGACTCGTCTTGTCCAAATTTCCACACGTCCAAGTGTGATTTTCCAAACGTTCATGGGATGTGTTCCACATGTTCAAGGTTTGTTTGTGTTTTCCCCATGTTTAAGGCTTGTTTTTCCACACTCTCATGGCCTGACTCGCGCCGCAAACCGTCAACATTTTGAAGGTCCAACTCTGAAGCGTGACGAGCTGAAGATAGCAAAGACCGTCAAACAGGTCCTGTAAAGTAGCAAACTTGATTTAGTTGTTGCATGCATGTGTGTGTGTACATATGGCATACGAATGTATACATGATACGGTATGAACAGATACGATATGATATGAAATGTGCACGTCTTGCCGGCCGAAGCCTATCGATACTGCCCAAGCCTACCGATAGTAAGCGTGAAAAATCAAATGAGCTACACTGCAGAGTGTTTCAGTGTCCAAGTGTAACAACGGGCATTACAAAAACAGATGAAAACAAACAAATTAAGGAATTGAAGGCATCTGCCAGACACATAGAGAGAAAGAGAAAGGGATAGAGCGAGATAGAAGAAATTAAATGAACCTCCGGCTGTGAGTTTTGAGCTCGATCACTGTTTCACTGTCTTGGTCTTAACCTTGGCTTCCTTAGTTCGGCACAACCAGCAACTCAGGCCACGCATTTGAAATGTTCCTATGGTTCCGGAGCAAGTTCCGGCCCGGGGCTATTTCCGGAGCAAGTTCGGCCCACAAGTTCTGGAGGCGGTTCCAACAGTTCCGAGAGCAAGTTCTGGACTTCTGGACAAGGCTCCGACCGAGTCAGCCGTCGCGCCAAACTATCACGTGGCGCTGGAACCTGCTTACCTGCTCCCATCTGCCCCGGGTCTCACTGCTATGGCTGAAGGCCACTAAGCTTTGCTGTTGCAGAAGAATTTCCTCAACATAGTAATTGATCCTAATGTACGAACATCTCAAGCGATTGAACTTGAAGAGAGCAGCAGCACATGATATGGAAGTTTTTCGCTTCTTCTACGGCAATAAAGACGAAAAGACAGAGAAGCGGACCATTAACAGGAGGAGAGGCTCGAAGGACGGCAAGCAAGCTGAACGGGTTAGGATGCAAAAACCAGGGACGGTTCTTTCATGTGGAAAGCCATCGCGAAGCGGATGGCTTCGCACACGTTGCCATTTCTCGCACACCCAGAGCCTCATCTGCTTATATCCAGATATATCCCTCTGGAACATAGCTTCTTACCTCTGGGTTTCCAAGCATTGGCCAAGCAGCAGCGGAGAACCTCTTCCAGCCCCGCATTCTCAAAGCCTCTGACGTTCAACGTGCATGTGCTTAGGAGCACCTCCCGAATGCAACTCAGATGCGCTCCCTTGCGACGAGGCTTGAGCAACTGCTGTTGTGCGGCTGCTGATGCTGCCCGTGACAATGTTGTGAAAACGATGACAAGTTGTGAACGTTTAAAATGAGGCATGTGTGGACCGCACCACAAAACACTGCGTACCACGGCATACTTGCTACGTGAACACAGCAGGCCGCTGGGCAGAGCCTTAAGAAAAGCACTCATCCTTAGCCTGTTGGATCCAACAAAAAGTGTGCAAGCTTTGCTTGAAAGAGGAGCAAAATGCATACAGGAGCAACGACGCTACTAGGGGCTCCTGGCATGAATGACAATGAACGATTTACAACTATGGATGGCAAGGTACCATATGACGTGTCTGACCCAGTGAACAAAGAAAATGTCGTATTTGTTGTGATTGCACAGGCATCTGCTGCAGACAAGCACATCCATCTGCGTGTTAATGAGCAACTCCCAACACAAACCTCAGAGAACCCAGAAACCAGTCGAAACCGGCAAGAACGCCAAACAAAGAACAGTGCTGCCAGGGTCATCTGTGGACCCACTATGATGACGCGCTGCACGCGCCACTAAGACCCTGAATTCACAACAAGCACAAACAAACACATTCTAAGAGCGATGGCCTCCACCCTAAGAGCGATGGCCTCCGCCCTACTAGTGATGGCCTTCATTCTTAGAAGCCCTGAAGAACTTGTATTGGGCGCAGTACATGTCTAAACTCCAAACACAAGTGGCAATGTCCACCTCATCCACCAGATCTTCACTCTCTGGGTTGAGCAGGCCCCGCATACCTGCAAAGCGCTCGCTTCCATTTGCTCCCTCGTCTCCAATGGATACATTACTTATTACATTGCATGGCTACACCACGTCAACAAATGACAAGCTTGACACCACTGCGTGTCAACTGTCAAAGCGCAGTAACTCTTCACAAAGTGCAACAGGAAAACCCTCAAACACATTGAAGCATCAACAAGGGAGGTTTCTTCCAACTCAAGCTAGTAAGCCAATACCCCGCCCCCTGTCTCATACCAGCCAAAGTCTAAAGTACATCGGGGCCTGCACCATTCGTTCACATCGAAAACTAGTTCATAGGAGGGTTGCTGAGGCCAAGCAGACTCGGTAACAGCGGGTGAAATTGTTGAGCAGCTGTAAGCATACAAGTGGTACATAGTGGGTCCAACCATAATCTTCCAACTGCAACAAACATCGAGCGCCTCGAAAACGCTGCCGCACTTTGCGGCGGATCTCATCAAGGTACAAGTTGGGCCTCGGAGCAGCAGGCCCATCATGAGATGCTTCAGAGACCAGCGGCGAAAAAAAGTAGAGTAAAATGTGCAGAAAACCTGTGAGCAAACCAAGCAAGAACTGATTCAGATCCTTTTTGCATGTTAAAACCGCTTGGGTTTCCCTCGGATTTCGACGGCGCCTGCTCGAAGAAGGAGGAGGGGTGGCAGGGAGGGCGCAGGCTTCCCCACAAAGTAAAGTTTAGCTAAGGATTGCTGAGGTGTTTGTTTGTTTGTGGCGAGGAGTGGGTCCTAAAGTGGTTGACCGTGGTTTGGCAAGCCATTCCTTCCGGCCCGCCCGCCTGCCCTTCCTTTTCCTTCCTTCCTTCCTTTCCTTCCTTTCGGGTCTCTTCATTCCTTTCTGTCTCCGCCCTTCCTTCCTGCTTGTTTTCAAGGCGCATAGAGTCATAGGGGCTGCTCAATGATGTTCGATGCTACTGCAAAAGCCACAACCTCTTGCTGATCACGCATGTTGTTCGCACTGTGCACTTGTAGCCGCCAAGAGGTTCACTGTCCTCCGACCTTCACAGTTTCAACTATGGTTCTTGGGGGGGATGCCTTGTGGAGTCTAGCGCCTTGTGGTGCAGTTGGCCCATATTTTGTTGAAGGTCAGCCCGTGATGACCCTTCCTATGTGGATTCACGTACGCCCGTAGTTCGCCCGCTGGAATCGATCAAAGGATCGCTTGTGGCAAGAGCTTGCAAAGTCAGTCCAGGTCTTCTGGAGTATCTGCTGGCTTTTCAGTACTGGTGGATCTCTCGGAGTGCCCTGAAACTCTGATTTTTTGCAGCAGCCCCACCTAGAAGGCACGACTGCGAAATTGACCGTGGAGCTGGGAGTGTGCCGGAGATGATGAAGACTGAGTTGCGCTGAAAGTATTACAGTCAGGGACAAGTTGGGAAGACCCTCACCCCACCTTCCGCAACATACCCGAGAATATAGAAAGCAATGTTTCCCAAGAGACAATTGCAGCAAGACAACGTTCCAAAAGGAATGCCAGTGCCACCACTTTTATTCACAACTGCTGCTTCATAGCAGTTCCAAATGGCTTGCTCGCCAGCCACAAACGACCACCTTGGTATATGTGTTTGTGTGCACGGTACACCGCCTATGTGTCATTGCATGAACCTGTGAGAGGATGGAAGTGAAAGCCAAGAGCTGGGTAGACCGAAAACCAAATGAGATCAACGGATGCTAGCGATGGCCTCCGAAGCTACTAGTAACAAGGGTATCGCTACTAGTAGCAAGAGGCTACTAGTAGCTATTCACTACTAGTAGTAATGCACTTGTTACTAGTGGCCTCCTTCCGTTGCGCAAGGCTTAAAGAACAAAAGTAGTTGGGGCACACAAACGGCGCTGTGTCTCGACAGGAGTGCAAAAGCAGGGCTTGAGTCTTGAGGGTCCAGGAGAAGCAAACAAAGCCCACGTCGGAGTGCTAGGACCACAAGCGGCACAATTGGGAAGTCGGTTTTGAGACTTCAAGTCCGCTGGGATCCACTTCAAACTTCCCACAAAAGGCTTTAAGTGCAAGAACGCTACGTTCGGGGCTCCTGGCCGTACTAGGAGCAAGAACGCTACTAAAGTAGAGACCGTTGATCCATTCAACAGTGGGCAGTGCCCTTCTCCGCCACCCGACTTTGAGGTCCGGGCTCGGAGAGGGTCAGAGCTGTCACGAACTCGTCTTTACTGCGGAAGCAAAGGAACATGAGAATAAATGCTGTAAATAAAGACACGGTTTTTCAGAGACTCATGAGAACACTGGAAAACACTGCTGCAAGAGTCTCAAGTAGTATGACTGCACCGTTCAAAAATAAAGGGCTGTGCTCCTGCCGGGCACCAGAATAAAAGTAAATTATTCTTTGGATTATAGCTATTCAGAAAAGCTCGGGTATGGAATATCCGGGACCAGAAAAGCCCTCTCGACTTTCCAGAAAGAGGGGAGGGTGATCTGTCCAACCTTGTATCTGGTAGGAAGAAGGACGCTACTAGAGGCTCCTGGCCTTACTGATAGGAGCAAGGAGCTACTAGGAGCAAAGGGCATCGCTGCTAGGAGCAGGGATGCTTCTAGTAGGGGGATAGAAGTGAGCGGACTGTCATGTGCGTCAAGAAGCGGCCTAATCTGCAGGCTGCCATCCACATCGATCAATCGAAAGGCTTTCGCAGCTTCATGCGTTGTCAGCCTGAATGATCCAATCATATTTTGCTCGGCAACGACAACAGTTGAAGCGTAAAGAGCACGAAGAAGGCTGGGCTCGAGCTTGGCTAGTCGAGCAGGTTCACGCGGACTGAGGCGAGTGCTTCCAAGCAGGAACAGCATATCGAATGAACTCACCGATGTCCAGTGAGTCCTTAATACCAAAGATTGACGAGGGAAGGGATGTCTATCTGCTCTTTGACTGGTGACTTGCCTTTCATTCCGCCTTTCTCCAGTAGCTCTTCCCACAACTCCTCTCTCAACTAGATAAAGTAAGTTCAAACCAAATCAGACCAAGGGGTGCTCCCCCTGGTCCATGTCCAGGGCTGCAAAGCAATTCGATAAAGACCTTGGGCAAAAACCGCATGCAGTTGGATTGTTTCTATTAGCAAAGATTGTTACTACTAGTAAGGCACTTGTTACTAGTAGCGATGCACTTGTTACTAGCAGATGCAAAAAGCTGCAAAAAAGACTTCAAGAATCGCCCCAGTGCTATTAGGTTGGAGCCATCGCTCTTGGAGGCCGTGGATGTAGCCACGATCAATAAGGATCCCAGAGTAGGTCTCTGTGGGTCTCTTTGTTTCTCCTAATGGGGCTGGAAGTTCCCAACCCTGTGGACAAAGCGTTTCAAAACCATTTCTGAGTGTTTGGCCCAAACCTTTTAAGGATCTTGTCTCGCAAATCCTCTACAAACATTCGTAGATGCACAGGCAATCAAACAGTGCAACTGGACATGAAAAAAACACATGAACAAACACATGAACTGACCATCTTCTTGCGGTCCTCCAGTAGCAAGGAAGGTGAGATGGCACTCATGGCCGCAGCCAGCATCTCCAAGGTCACCTGACACAAGCGGACCCAGCATGGCAGACATCTAAAGGCGACCCCGAAAGAAAAACAATACCAAAACGAGTAAGGAAGGGTTGTTTGCAACAACCACCGAAGTCATCCGAAGTCCAATCTTCAAGCTGCAAATTGCATTTTTGACTCATATCAAAGGTATAAATCTGCTCTGACAAGCAATATGTTTGCCAGAGCAAAGGTGTTTGACGATGACGACCCCACGCCATAAGCACCACTATTGCCGAGATCCGTCAATCACCAAATCTATCCATCGAAAACAAATTCTCTGGGGTTCGCAGTTTACATCTGCTTCTCTGGCTCGCCTAATTCTTGTGGTGGGTTTGGGCTCGAAATCGGCTGGTGTTTGCAACACTTTGGAAGTTTGGGCCAGCCGTTAGCATTTTCAGCACTTGCTCAGAGAGTTGTGGTTTCCCTCGTCAAGTTGTGCGTGCTCAAGCCACGATGCCAACAAGAAACACTAATACCAAAAGTCACAAAAGCCCAAGGCTACAAGATCCAAGAACCACAAACCAAAGAAAACAAAGAAACCGAAGCCGAAAGCCAGTGAGACTAGCCAAAGACACAAGACACCAGTGACCAAAAACTCACACAAGCCGCCAGAGGCCGACCGCCGTCGAAAAAACAAGCTACTAGTAACAAGTGCATCGCTTCTAGTAACAAGTGCCTTACTAGTAGTAACAATCAGACTTTAATTAGAATTGTAATTAATAGCTTCTTGTTTCTACTAGTAAGGCGCTTGTTACTACTAGCGATGCACTTGTAATTACTAGCAAAGGAATCTAGGCACCAGAACGAGGGCCGGGTGCGTCTTGAGTGCGGGACGGGCGTTGAACGCAGCCCGCGCAGCCAAATAGTTTCGAACGAGTTCTGTATTTTAAGCGAAAGACCCCATGGAGTGTCACCACTGTTTGAAGAAGAAACTCGTGTACATGTGTTTTCAGCTGTCACAATGACAAGTACTTGCACAGTGATGCCACGGTGGGCACCGTTTGGCAAGAACTGTGTGGATCGCGGATGGCAGCAAAGATGTTCTGGCCAAGGGCTGTGAATTACATGACGCAAGTACACCGCGAGTTGCTGCTTTCACAATATCCCTCACAAACTACAGTCCTGGTGCTCAATCTCCTCCTCTACGCCTCAAGCAGGGCACACGTCAGGTTGAAAGTCGTCTTGCCCTTCTTGATTTCGCGGATCCCACAGAGGCAACCCTGCTCGAGAAAAGGCAGAAAAGGTAGATTGGTGCGCAAGTGAACCACATTGTTCTGCTTTTAAGGCTGAATTGGTACCTTCAAAAACCTCACTGTTCGAGATGTTTTCCTTCTAATATAGCCCGCCCCTACTTGATTAAGTAGGCACCTACTTAATTGAGCAGGGGCTGGATAGCTTACTAAAACACCTGTAGCTACTACCTACCGGCACAGGATAGTTCACGCTATTCATGTTCCTAGACTTTTAGGTTAAAGCTATTCCTATTGGGCTGAAGGCCATCGCTTCTAGGTTGGAGGCAATGGTTATTGGGTAGGAGGCTACCGCTACTAGGTTGGAGGCCATCGCTAGTAGGTTGGAGGCCATCGCTTCTAGATTGGAGGCCATCATTTCTATTAGGTTGGAAGCCATCGCTAGTAGGTTGGAGGCCATCGCTTCTAGGTTGGAGGCCATCGCTACTAGGTTCGAGGCCACCGCTTCTAGGCTGGAGGCCATCGCTAGTAGGTTGGAGGCCATCGCTACTAGGTTGGAGGCCATCCCTCTTGGGTTGGAGGCCATCGCTGCTCTTAGGTTGGAGGCCATAGCTCTTAGGTTGGAGGCCATCGCTCT